CAGGGAGCCATGTGACACTCTGGGCTAGTCACATAGGTGGACAGGGAGCCATGTGACACTCTGGGCTGGTCACATGGGCAGACAGGTCATGTTCCCATTAACCCCCTGATAATTTGCCTCACAGGGCTTCTCCTCACCATGTCCCTCATTCTCCAGCTGACCTTGGGCACTCTGGAACCCCACCCCCCCCATCTGTGAGGCCAAGCTGCCAAGAAAACAGCCCCTGGCACCGAGGGGCCTCATCTTTAACATGTAATAGCCCTTAAATCACATTTAGTGCCTTCAGCATACAATCAATGGGCTATTTTACAGTCTGCAGTGGAATCATCAGTGACCCTGTGGGGGGGCTTAGGGCACATCACCCTCAGAGTCGAAGAAGACAGACCCCCCCATCCCATCAACTGCCCTGCCATCTTTAATGCTGAGCAACTGACTCCTGGCCTCCAGCGAATTTATGAAGAGCGCCCCCTCTGGAGACGAGGCGCTCGTGGAGGCGCTGATCAATATGGAGCAGGTGTACATGACTTCCCGCTCCACCGCTCATCCGGCACATTCCACGCACTCGTTGACCCGTTAGGGTGCGTGACTCCCTGTCCTCCGCATTCATCATCCATTTCTGCTTTGTCCTCGGGCCTATATTACATTTTCAGAATCTTTGCTCATTTTCTTCCCTTTACAAATTAATTTAAATGACACAGACAACTGAGACAGAGCTTACAGAAGAGGAGGCAGCACCGGCGAGGAGAGCTACACTCCTAAAGTGCGTTAAGCACCGCCGAGGAGAGCTACACTCCTAAAGTGCGTTAAACACCGGCGAGGAGAGCTACACTCCTAAAGTGTGTTAAACACCGCTTAGGAGAGCTAAGGGGTGTTATGCTCAGGGGCTAATCATGGGGTTTTGTCTGACTGTAACTGTAGGCTTCAGAAAGGAGCATCTGGCCAGTAATGGAGCCAGAGACTGGGGGGCAGGGGGGGGTCCAGGTCCCCCTTGGCTCCTGACCTGGAAAGGATCACAGCCTGCAAACCATAAGAGCATTTCCGACATAGGCCAGCAGGGTGCGCCATCATGCATGAGTATATTATGGGATGTGAAGCTCCATGGCAGAGGGTGCTGGCTTCGTGTGAGGTCAGGAGATGCTGAGCCATTACCTAGCTAGATGCCCGACACTGGCCAGAAGCTGGAGGGGGTTTGTGCTTAATTAAGATTCATAAACGCATTTCTACCTGAAAAAAATAACTTTCAAGCTGCATTTGTTATTTACTGGAAGCGAAAGCAAAACAAGAAACACATACAATCTCCCAGCAGGATCCATCACTCACTGTTACACCGGCATCACGCTGCTTCACACAGCAGCAGTCTGCTCCCTCCTGCCTGTACGCTGTTTTAACCAGACCTCACTATGTCTGCCTCTAGGGTAAGTCCTCACTCCAAATTAAAATAGGTTTTAACCTGAATTTCTCTCTAAAGATATGATGAAATTTAGATACTGGCCAGCAGGGGGCAGAGTCATGAGAGGCGTGTGCCAGTCTTTCCTCTGACACGCCAATGCCACATTGGGATTGCGGAGGGACGCTATGCAGGGTCCATCCTCTGCTCTCTGGAGCAGCTGCACTAGAAAGCAGCCGGAGTTTGTAATCAATATTACAAGCATGTCTTTGCGCGAGCGGAGGCCAGTGGGAATCGCTCGTTAACGCAGGTCGAGGCATCTGCAAGCACGCAAATAAGGACGATCCATCTCCGGACGGCCCTTGCTGCGCTCCCAGCACGCAGCGCTGGAGGAGGCTGCTGGGGATTATTTAATCCGCCGTCTCCTTGATTATGGGATGTTTCCCGCTGGGGAAGCAGTGATGAGTCTGTGAGCGGGACCCCCGCTGCCTCACCATGTGGCACTTCCGTGCAGTATGGGTGGGAGGGACGGACTGCACTTTGTCCTGGCAAGTGTGACAAGGGGCCATTTATACAGTCATTTTAATGAGATTATTTATCATCCATCTCAATTACGTGATTCCTGCTCCAATCAGAGGGAAGTCTAGACAGGAAGGGGCGGGACACGGATGCTATGCAGTGTCACCTTCTCTGTGGTGACACACACCATCGGAGCGAGGAGACGCACACACTCAGCTCCCATCCGGGATGACGGCACGGCAAATTCCGGAATGATCTGAGGGTACCGCAGCCTCCGGGTCAGGGAGGGATGTGATCGCCGCTGGTTAGTCACCGCTAATAGATCACAGAAGCACGTGGAGGCCCCCTGCCATCCCGCCTTGCTGTGTGAATCACCGGCTGGATGAAAGCGGTCCTGGCAGGACTCAGAACTCGGCAGGACAGGCTCTCTCTTCTCACACAGGAACATCAGATGACTAACAGCCGCCCTAAATGATCCGCAGCAGGCTGATCCGTCTCTGGCTGATCCGCACTTTGGCAAAGCCCCCCCCTTCCCATGTGAATAGTTGCACATGGTCACAGAAACAGGCTTAAGAGCCATAAAGCAGGCCCTGGGGGCTGTGGGGCGCTGACCCCCCCGAGCGCGCCCGCTCACCCATGACCTCGCCACGCGGCACTGACAAAGCAGGCTGTCCATCCATTCATTTGTAAATCCCCAAAGGTTAGTTCTGTTGGACCTTAAGCTCCTTACTATTTTAAATCTCCATAGCGACGAGCTTTTGTTTCCTGCGATCCAGGATGCCCTCTTCTTAGCTCACCCTTACTATCCTCCTTCCTCCCTCCTTATTAAATCCTAATACCGTTTTAGATTGATTCCCAGATATGAGTTCTGATCCCTGATCTTTGGGGGGAGTTTCGCCACAAAAAGCACCTACTCTACCGATGGGAGGTGTGCCCCCCCCCCCCAGCAGAACACCCCCCGAGTCTCCACGTTGTTCATTTCACCCATGAACTACATTTACCTTTCTGTCGCTCTCTTTTTTCACCGCTCTCTTGTTTGCTTACTCTAACATTGACCTTTCAGCCCCCCGGAATATAATGTAAGCTCCCTCCCTTCTCCAGGTTGCCTGCTTGCTTGCCAATTACAAATGATCATCATTCCGCCCATGAATCCCTCAGTCACTCCTCCGTCATGCTCACTGTCATCTATCGCTTCACTTCTCCTCTTCCCCATCCGTCTGTTTCTGTGCAGTGCCCTCCTCTTTCCATCCATAAACACGCCCCTTGCCACCTCAGTTACAGCCTATGTTCCTCCCCCCACCCCCCGTTGCTAAATGCTCCCCATGAGCACAAGCCCCTAAAACACCGTATCTGCTCCATTTACAAATCGATCCACACACAGACAAAACACCTGATCATGAATTACGCCAATCAGGACTAAATCGCGGCCTGTTAACTACGACGCTGAGACAATAAAACACTTAGATGCAGATTTACGGTCACGAACATAATAAACGGACGACTGAGGAACTCGACGCCGTGACCACTTCATGGGTAATAATGGTACACATTACACTGTGTATCATGTAGGGCTGTCACCGCTGATCTGGATCAGACTGGTTTAGCTAGATGTGTGACAGGCCGGTGGTCTGCCAAACGTGGTTAGGGTCAGCACATTAAGGCCCCTGTCTGACACACTCACACACACAAACACCCACAGGTGCTGCAGTCAGTCACCCCACCCCATCCCAGCCGCCAGATGACACCCCCACTTGTATAAGGAGTGAAGTGACAGCCCACCTTGTTTCCCAGCATTCCCTGCAGTCAGCCTCGTGGCAGATAGACGCGGATGCAAGCAGGAGCCGGGACTAATTACTTATTTATATGAAAACGGCACTCTGCCGTCGATGCCCCCCAATCCCTCGTCGATGGAGCCAAATTAACTAATTGCCGGGCAGATTCGTTTTCAACCTGTAAATAGGTTTATTGATATGACCAAATGCATTTAGTCAGCAGAAACAAAGTTTTACACTCGCGCCGTTCAGGTGAAAATTAAATTAGATGCTAATCAAGATGAAATGGAAACTGCTGCAGGAAGGGCCCTCTGCTGGCCTGCCGGGGGGGGCGAGGAGGTCCTTCAGACTCGCATTCTGGATGTGAGGACGTGCAATAAGGCAGCATCTCTCAGACGGACCTTCCAGGCAGTTCATGTTCTTGCTCCCCTGGGAGGGAGGACTGTCTTGCAGGGAGCTGGGAGGGAGCAAAAACATGGACCATCAGGAGTCCCGAGGACCGGGCTGAGGAACACGGGCCTAGACGGCGCTGACAGAGACAGGAAAGGCCTCTTTGTCAAATTTATCTTTGATGACCTATTCTGTGCTCTCAGGGTACCTACCTCGCTCGCAAAGACGACCGCTGAAATACAGGGGGCAGTCGCAGGCGAAGGATGCCGCCCCTCCAGGCCGCAGCCGCAGGGCCCTGCAGGGGGCGCCATTGAGGCAGGGAGCGCCGTCGCAGGCCACCATCGATGGGGTGGGTGAGGCGGGGCGTGGCGTGTTCCTAAACGGGGAAGTGGAGAGGGGGTGTCAGTGTCGACTGAATGGAGCTGCGGAACTAAGAAACTCCTGGTCAGCCGACTGCGAGCAGAATTAGCATCACGCAGACGGAAAACAAACAGGGTCGTCGACTCCACTGCGAGGAAACTCCCAGAGTCTCTCTCCACCAAGCACAAAACTAGTCAAGAGAGAAGAGGATTTGACCCCGGTAGAGGGTCGGATTACCTCGCACTTGTCAATCACCGCTTGCTATAAGCGAAGGGGGTTAAACTCCTCAGAGTGTCACCCTTCGCCATGGGTTCGAAGCACTGCTGCTGGTAAACAGGATTAGCGGGCTGCAGCCAATCACAAGATCCACTCTCCTTAAAGCTTTTAAGAAAGCACTCCCCCCCCCCTCCCGGGACTCAGCTGCATTGGAGATTACTGTAAGAATCCCCCCCCCCCGTAAAATATAACCCCCTGCCCACTTCTGTACACTACACTGTCCTCATAACAACAGCTACACAAGTTCCAATAGTTGGGAGAAAACTGGTACCTGGACAGCCATCTGAGTGGCACCTCCCTGACTGACACCTCCCAGAGTGGCACCTCCCTGAGTGACACCTCCCTGAGTGGTACCTCCCTAAGTGGCACCTCACTAAGAGGCACCTCCCTGAGTGGTACCTCCCTAAGTGGCACCTCACTAAGAGGCACCTCCCTGAGTGGCACCTCCCCGAGTGGCACCTCCCTGAGTGACACCTCCCTGAGTGACACCTCCCAGAGTGGCACCTCCCTGAGTGACACCTCCCAGAGTGACACCTCCCAGAGTGGCACCTCCCTGAGTGGCACCTCCCTGAGTGACACCTGCCTGAGTGGCACCTCCCTGAGTGGTACCTCCCTGAGTGACACCTCCCTGAGTGGCACCTCCCTGAGTGACACCTCCCAGAGTGACACCTCCCTGAGTGGCACCTCCCAGAGTGACACCTGCCTGAGTGACACCTCCCTGAGTGGCACCTCCCAGAGTGACACCTCCCTGAGTGGCACCTGCCTGAGTGACACCTCCCAGAGTGACACCTCCCTGAGTGGCACCTCCCTGAGTGACACCTGCCTGACTGACACCTCCCAGAGTGACACCTGCCTGAGTGGCACCTCCCTGAGTGGCACCTCCCTGAGTGACACCTGCCTGACTGACACCTCCCAGAGTGACACCTCCCTGAGTGGCACCTCCCTGAGTGACACCTCCCTGAGTGGCACCTCCCAGAGTGACACCTGCCTGAGTGGCACCTCCCTGAGTGGCACCTCCCTGAGTGGCACCTCCCTGAGTGGCACCTCCCTGAGTGGCACCTCCCTTCGGCTGGGTCTTTCATCCGGTCATGTGACGGTCTCTTCCTGACACATTCCGGAATCGACATACACGTGGCATGTGGCCATAAAGTGGAGGATACACAGGTTCCTCAGGGCAGGTGTTGATGTGACAAACACCCTGGACTGGCCATAGTACAGACAGACGTGGGCCGTAAGAGAGGGGGTGGGGCGCCGGTGGTGAACCTTGATCAGTCCTGACTGCGGCAGTGACAGAGCGTGTCACCCACATTCGCTCTTTACAGCTGCTCCGCATGGCATTGGGGGGGAGGGCTATGTGACTGGAATGCTGTCAGTACAAACCCCAGAGTCAGCAGAGTGATGTCACCATCGGGCCCCTGTGCAAGGGCCTTAGCCATCGGGCCCCTGAGCAAGGGCCTTAGCCATCGGGCCCCTGAGCAAGGCCCTTAGCCATCGGGNAGCCATCGGGCCCCTGTGCAAGGCCCTTAGCCATCGGGCCCCTGAGCAAGGCCCTTAGCCATCGGGCCCCTGTGCAAGGCCCTTAGCCATCGGGCACCTGAGCACGGCCCTTAGCCATCGGACCCCTGAGCAAGGCCCTTAGCCATCGGACCCCTGAGCAAGGGCCTTAGCCATCGGGCCCCTGAGCAAGGCCCTTAGCCATCGGGCCCCTGAGCAAGGGCCTTAGCCATCGGTCCCCTGAGCAAGGCCCTTAGCCATCGGGCCCCTGTGCAAGACCCTTAGCCATCGGTCCCCTGAGCAAGGGCCTTAACTCCTGCTGCTCCAGGGACTGGCTGACCCTGCTTCCTCAAATGTACGTTGCTTTGGGTAAAATCGTCCGATAAATAAGTAAAATGTAAATTCTGCTTGCCCTCCCCACAGTGACACCCCAGAAAGCAGTCAAGGTTTGTCTGTCCTCAAAATGCAATTATCAAATAACAAAAGTCTACTTCTGAAAAGACATAAAACTTCATCATATAATGTTTCAGAATGTAACCATAACATTGTCCTCTGAATAACCTTGTGCGCCTCTGGGTTAAAAAACATTATAGCACGAATAATAATGGTACCGGTTTTGGCACAAATGGAGCCTTAGAGCCCCCCCCCCCCATTCAGGTGAGCCCCCCCATAAAATAAAGCCGCTTTCAGCTGAATTTGCAGCCCGCGGCTGGTCTTCAAATGCGAGAAATGCAACAAATGACTCCCCAAGCAGAAGGGACACTTTTCATTTCCTCCACTGATATTTTTGCTTGGTTTATGTCTCAGAATAATAAGAAAGGACAGAAGTCAGAAGACGAAGCGTCGTCTATCTTCCTAAAAGATAGCGAACAATTTGTTAGTCCCATTAGCCCAGTGGCGACAGAGCAGAGCAGAGCGCCGCGTTTCCGGAACGAACTGTGGACAGACTCTCTGTCCCCGGCCCTATGACGGAGCACATTGTTTCTGTCTTTATTCCCTTCATAACCAGGTATGAATCAGTATGAATACACATTTATGTTTCTAAAGGACGGGCGTATGTCTTTTGTTTGATGTTGGTTACTGGGCCTGCTTCCCATGTGCACAAAGAACTCAAAGAACCTCCCAACATGGACATTTGACATTTATTTATCTAGCGGCTGTGTTTCTCCAAAGCGTTTCACAGCAGCCGGACCACAAACTCTGAACCGACGACCTTCTGGTTCCAGGTACAGTTGGAACCTGCACAGTGCCCCCAAAATATCCTGCACGGTGTTTCTCAACCGAGCTGGCAGGGACCCCCAGACAGTCTACATTTCTGCTCCCTCACAGCTGGTGGTGAAGCTTGCCAGCAGCGGGGGGCAGCGGGTGGGGGGCAGCGGGTGGGGGGTAGCGGGTGGGGGGCAGCGGGTGGGGGGTAGGGCCCTGACTCCCAACACACCTGGCTGACAACAAGACAGTCTCCCAAAGTCGAGACTCCATCTGGCCTGACTAGTGACTCTATGATTTATCATCCCTCTTGTCCCCAGGGGACCGAGACATCAGCCACGCAAACGAGCTCCTTCCGTCGTTTCATCATCGCCTCTTTGGGTCCCCTCTTAATTAGTCAACAGCAAACTGATAAATCAGGACACAATGCTTTGTATACACCGGCGAGATAAACACCTGGTGGAGAAAATAAACTGCAGCACCAATTACAGGCAGCTAATGACCAGGCTGATAATCACACAGGGAATAAAGGGCTTATGGGCCCCCCTTGGCCCCCCGGCACCATGCTTACGGCTCAGATTGCCTCCCTGGGCATTGTTACGCAAATCCGGACGGACATTGCGACACTAAGCGCTCACGGCCTCTGGCAGTACGCCGCATGCCATGCGCCTGCGCTGCTGCAACAAGCCGCCATCGCCGGGGATTAGAGTGACAGGCTGCCGTCTCGCTCACATCCCGCCTGTCAGGATGGAGACGGCAAAACAATGGGTGAGCCGCGCCGGGCACAAATGAAGATTAAACGGCATGCCGGCACCGGGACTCCAGCGAGACGCTGTGCCGTAATGGGAGCAGACGAGAGGATTTCCCCTGCATTAGCGCCCACAGGAATTGGCCACCGCGGGCTGGATCGCCAGCATCCACAGTGCACATGCCACAGGACACCCCACAGGGGCAGCCAGTCCCTGGAGCAACTGGGGGGGGTAAAGGCCTTACTTAAGGGGCCCGACAGAGACAACAACCTGCCAACACTGAGATTTGAACCAGTGACCTCCTGCTTATGGAAGCGGTGTCCTACCCCAGCGAGCCACACACCCTCCTCAGGAAAGAGATGAGAACTTTTTAACCAGATGTCAACTCAAGGTAAACAACAGAAGAAAACAGCAACCTGCCTAAGTATGACAATCTAACCAATCAGAGGCTTCGAATGGGAACATGAATAAAGGCAAATGGAAGCCATGCACAGTGTCTCCCCGGTTAGCGAGGCACACAGGGGTACCTGTGACTATCAGTAATGTATTATTTTTATATAGTACATTTCACAATAGAGTCACTTGACTGTCAGGGTCAGCACCCGTCTGTCCCAGCCTTTCGTGTCTCCTCCCCATTTTGGCCAGCAGGTGTCGCTGGCCATCCTATCCTCCCTGTTGTCTAAGTCTTTAGTGTGTTTCCCCTGCTCCCTGTATTGCCGCATGGTTCTATGGGCTGAGGATCTGGCCACCTCCGTATTTGTCCTTAGTAGATTGTAGTTTTCTGCTTCCTGAGTTTTGTGGTTTGCGTTTTGGTTTTGCTTGGTGCCTGTGTTTGTGATCATTACTGGTCTTTGGTATATTCTTCTGTTTCTTAGTTTCCCTGTAGGTCTCTTAGTACCTTTATTGAATTACTAGTTTCACTGTGCCTCGCTCCCGTAACACTTGCCAATTCATTATTCCAGTCACACTGCAAGAGCATCGCAGTGCAGGAGCGTCGCAGTGTGAGTGGCCACTAAGGCCTGGTGACGTGGTTCCTCAGCCCGCCTTTATCCTCGCGTCGAGAGCAGCGCTGCTGTGACAAGATCGCAGTGACATCTTTAATTAGCAACGGCTGCCTCTCCAACACAGAGAGACGCTTTTTCAAGATGAGACAAAATTTCAAGTATGCCGCCTTCGTCACAAAAAGCACCAATAATGAGAATTACAAACAAACTAATTTCTGCCAAAAGATTTGTGGCTGTTGATGAACAGCCGCGTCTCAGCAAACCCTCCCCCATCTGCAAAGCGTGTGCACCACACCCCCTTCAGCCCACTTCTCTGCACCCACCGCTGCCTCATTCAGGCTGCTGCCTCATTCAGG